GGTGTAGGTGAGTGTTGGTGGGTGTAGGAGGGTGTGTGGGGGTGTAGGTGAGTGTTGGTGGGTGTAGGAGGGTGTGTGGGGGTGTAGGTGAGGAGGGTGTGTGGGGGTGTAGGTGAGTGTTGGTGGGTGTAGGAGGGTGTGTGGGGGTGTAGGTGAGTGTTGGAGGGTGTAGGTGGGTGTATGATGGTGATAAGGGGTGTAGATGGGTGTTGGTGGACTTAGGGTGTCGATGGGTGTAGTGAGTGTAGAAGGGTGGGGGAGGGTGTTAGTGGGTGTCGTAGGGTATGGATGACTGATAGGAATGTAAATGGGTGTAACTGGGTGTAGGAGAGGTGTAGATTAGTGATAAGTGAGGATGGGTGTAGCCGGGCATAGAAGGTTTTTGATGGGTATCGGTGGGTGTAGGAGGGTGAAGGATGGAGTAGAAGGGTGTAGCAGGGTGTATGAAGGTGGTAGTGGGTGTAAGAAGAGTGCTAAGGGGTGTAGGCGGGTGTACCAGAGTGTAGGAGATATTGGGGAGTTTCAGGGAGTTGTGTTAGTACACTTTTGTTGAGCACCATTTATTTTTCACCTCTCGGGGGCTAATGTTTTGTCCTTGTTAGTCTAGTATAATTGTTTCTTTGTTATCTATACATTTGTTTATATGTTAATCTAATTAGTTGTTTATGTGTTTATTTGTTTGTCCTTGTTAGTTCAGTATAGTCAATTATGTGACTGTTTTTAAGTTGTATAATTTTGTAAGGGCGTGTTTGTTTATGTGATTATCTGGGAGTGTGTGTGTGTGTGTGTGTGTGTGTGTGTGTGTGTGTGTGTGTGTGTGTGTGTGTGTGTGTTGATTATTCAGCTAAAACAATTATCGCTACTATCCTTATCACCTCCTCTACGACTACCATCACCACCAACACTATTGCCACTGCCACCACACACCATCTAGGCGGAGAAAGTGTCTAGCCAAGGAGACTGCCGCCGCCCCCTGCTGGTAACCTAACGTGATATTCAATTACACACCGGAAATTTTTGTATACCTCACCAAAATTAAATGTCCCGTGTAATTAACATAAGTATTCAGGACCGTAAGACAAAACAGGGAGAGTGATGGGGGTGGGGGTGTTAGGCAGGGGGAGTAGGGAGGCGGAGGGGGGAGAGGGAGGGTGCTGATGAGATGTAGGCCCACAATTTTGGTAATGTTAATGAATGTCTATATATAGTGTATATATTATATTACTTGAAATAATAATAATAATAATAATAATAATAATAATAATAATAATAATAATAATAATAATAATAATAATAATAATAATAATAATAATAATAATAATAATAATAATAATAATAATAATAATAATAATAATAAGTTTAGCCTACCCTATAATGCCTTGGAAAGCTCTTCCATATCGTGACGAGACGTACAAAGACAAAAGTCGTGTCGCGGTTTTGTCCCAAGATTAAATATAACTCGTGAAGCATTATGAGAGCCCTACCACAAGGCAGAGCGGACCAAAAGTTTAGCCTTTTGGTATATGTTTTCACCAAATTTCACGACACGACTTTTGTCTTTCATTGTACACACACACACACACACAAGAACACTAAATGTATCTCAAATGATCTAACTTCCCTCATCTCACCATTTAAATCTGACCAGGAAACTTACAATTAAATAAATATCACATCAAAACAATAGTGTGGGAGACAAATAAATGTGAAAGTTTTATGTTGAATAGTGTGAGCGGAAGAGCTACAATCACCATCCCTCCCATCCGGTGGTGGGACAGTTAGAGGGAGGGAGGGAGAGGTGAGGTAAAGTGCGTTGCTCTTCCGTCTCAACATGCTCGTAGGGACAAACAAAATCCCTTCATTTAAGTATCACGAAACTGGTATATTGGTCCTTGAAAACATAACTTTTAAGATTCAAGCAAGACGCGATTTTAAGAGTTACAACTGAAAAATTTGTTGGATTCGAACTAAATAGAACTGTCCTGAATTGGTTAATATCAGGACAAGAAATATTTACATTACGTTATACGCATTAAATAAACACTCGAAATGGGTGATTACCTTTAGCAGCCCTGTCAGTCTATATTACATCAAACCACGTTACAAAGTATAAAGTTAGGATATCCTACAATATAAATTGATACTCGAGGTTTTCTGAAGGTGGTGAGTGTTGCGTTTCTCTGGTTAGGATCGTTAAGGAACTGACGGTGGCAGGTTACAGGTATTTGACATTGCCATTCAACGGTAGCTGGTAGGATGCGCGCGTAGACAAAGGAATGTAGACATCGCGCAAGACGATTATTTAAATCAGGAGTAATTATTTACAATTCTGGTAACTATTAAATATTACTTCAACTGAATATAACCTAGATTAAATGCAAGATATAAATGACTCCTTAACTAAATTTCTTACATTATTTTTATCGTTCTGCTATTCAACATAATAGATTAGCATTACGACAAGAACCCGGTGATAATTCCTACTACTTTGCGAGAATTTTGTAGATGTTTTCAGTCCGCCAATAAACAGATCTGTCATCCTAGCATAACAATTTCTGTTTTCTGTTCAGTATTCTCCTCTGTTGTGTTTGATTCTATTTGCCACAGTGCTACATGACTGTTCTTGCAATTGGCCCTAATATTGCAAGAACAGTTATGGGGTGTACGACGCCATTTACGATGACCTTCTTGCCCTGATCCTGTTTCAGGAATATCACCTTTTTGAAGCTCTGGAGAGATCTCGAAGTTTCGATATTTTGAGTACAGCACTAGCTAATAATTCCCACCAGGAAACTTGCTTCGAGACTCCTCCAAAGATTCGAAAAGTGCAGAGTTCCATGTGTTAAAGGTGATATTGCTGAAAAAAGATCAGGGCAAGAAGGTCATCGTAAATGGCGTCGTATACACTATACTGTAGACTCGAGCCTTGTACATTCGGCCTTCACGGCGGATTATGGCAGCTCACGACGTACAGTATATAGTCACTCCTCGAATTTATTGCAGAAAGCAAACAAACAACCCCCCCCAAAACCAAGGCCGGATTCAGGAGTGGGCAAAGTGGGCAGCTGCCCAGGGGCCTCCACATATCAGGGCTGGTCGACTTGAAACCACATGAATGACTCCAGTCATGTCTCACTTTTGTGTGTGTGTGTTGGGAATTTGTACACTATCAATAAATATACAGTTAATTAAAAATTTCTCAATGTTCTAATTTCCTTAATATAACTGCACATGGCTTCAAAATTCTCCAAAGAAGTGTTCAAATTTCAAAATTTTCCCGGGGGCCTTACAGCGCCCCCCGGAACTCCCAGATGTTTAGGCCCGCTTCACTCGCCACCCCACCCTCTTGGGTAGTTATAACGAGGGGGCCTCCACAAAGAGGCTGCCCAATGCCCATGGGCCTCCACAGGTCTAAATCCGGCACTGCCCAAAACACAAGTTATATCGAATGCTAACCCCATGGGAATTATTGATTTTTTCTTAAAATTTCAGACATCGAAATAAAATTATACTGTATTGTTGTTGTTGTTGTTGTTTTAATGTACTACTGCGCTTTAACAACTAAAATCTTTAAAGGTGTATTGTACAGTGTAGGTTATCAATACACTATTCATCAACAACAGAGAAATTCATATATATTTTCTCAAAAGATTATTTATTTTTTTGTTAAGTAAATAAATCAATAAATATAAAATAAAGGAAATGAAACTAAAATATTAACAAGGATAAAAACCTGGCAAATTTAGTGGACGTAAAATTCAACAACAAATTAGAAGGCAGTTAAGCAGTGCAGAGATAATATCATAAGATTAATTTCATCTGGGTAATAATAGTTTTTATATTTTTTTCCCTTTACTATTATAGCTTTACTTAGATTATATAATGGTCATTTTCGTAGCGAGTAAAATGAGATAAGGTGACGTGAGAACACATTGTTAAACTCTGGGCGAGGCTCGTGTCCCTGCACACTGAGTGGGCTGAGGAGACCTTGAACAGGAGAGATTATTTCACTTACTGAGGCGACAACAACAAAAAATTAATGCTGTACCTCGCTAACAAAATTTCTTTTTCTCAAAAAAAAATAAATAAAATAATAATAATAATAATATATATATATATATATATATATATATATATATATATATATATATATATATATATATATATATATATATATATATATATATATATATATATATATAGGAACATTAAAACAAGCGGTGTGAATGTGATAACAAATGTAGGCTACAGTAAAGCCTCTCTGGTGAGTGAGTGCGTCAAGACTCAAGAGGTACAGTATGTGATGACATGACGTCATGCGCGAGTGGAAAAATAAAAGTTGCCCAACATTCATTTCCCTCTCCATTTTTTTTTTTTTTTTTAGATTTTACAGAAAATTCATTGAAACATACCAATTATTTTTCATAAACATTCATGCTGCATTAGAAATGATCACATTATTAGTCCCTCGAATGTAGTAATATACATATGTATAAAACTCCCAACCTGGGACCTCAGTGGGTTATTTACAGATTACAGTTGTAGTAGTGTGGCAGCATCGCCGAGGAGGGTGTGCGGGGGATACCTGTGGCGTGGAGATTCAGTGATTTAAATTATTTTACAGCAATGGTTCAAGTTTCTACTGCTTCTGAAATGTGCGTCAATCTAGAGCTTAACCTTGTGTGAGTATATCCCATGAGATGTGTATACCACTGAGCATGTAAATAAAAAAATACTTGTGTAAAGTTTGGGTGCCCGCTAGTGTGTGTGTGAGGAACAGTTGCCGAATGTTGTTATATGCGAACAACCGTCGATTTGTTTTATATTCTATTTATCTATGTTGTTAAAACGACTAAATTTTCAAAGTACTTATTTCTTCGTCGTCATTTGTCCAATACTTGTTCTTGGGACTACAGTAATCTGCTCATTTTTAATATAATTTTCACCACTTAAGACCTTATACGTCTCTACATTATTTTATGCAAAATTTTTACTTATTTTCCTATTTCAAGTATTTTAGGTAGAAATATTTACGTAATTAACACCCACAAAGCAGAACCCCCAAATAACACACATGGTTACCTCTTTGATTCCGCTGATGAGGTGATTACGTAGGGCAGAAAAGTTAGCTGGGAAATGTGAGTTTGGTGACGAGGCTACAACGGTACAGGGAAGTGAACCATGTTTTGTTTTTTACAAGAACTGAAGTGATATCATTTTGTTCTGGGTCTTTAATTATTGGACTATAAAACTTATTACTTTGTATTTTTTTAATTAATATTCCTCGTTATGTGGGATTGTTTTACTAGTCACTGAAGAAAACGAAGCTAAGATTAATGACAGTATTATTCACTTGCTGGTGTCGGCTAGGTTGTGCATGTGTACCTTATCATATTATGCGATAAGCTCTTACGTGTGTGTGTGTGTGTGTGTGTGTGTGTGTGTGTGTGTGTGTTCTCATTTGACTGCAGAATGTGAGCATCAGTGTTTTTTGGGTGTTCCTTGGAAGCGTTGCATAATCCCACGCGTGTGTACAGCGTTTTCGTGGAGCAATAATAGTACACTCAGTCACGTCCTCTGGGGTGAGAAGTGGCCATCATTTTTCTTACGTCTCCCTCAGATAACCATGGCTGAGATAATCATTAGTGTATATTTTATGCTCGCATGGTTGGGAGGATTGCTGCATCGTTTAAGGTTATCCTTGATTGTGAGAAATGGCGATTATTTTATATACGGTAAACGTTGAATGATAAAGAAGTTTCGGTTGTTAACATAATTGTATTCTTATTAGTTATCGTATAATTGTGCTCTGAGAAGTCGCTTGTTGTCTATATAGGGAAGCCATGGTTATTAAGGTAAATTATGACGTGTATTAGTGAATTTTTTCCGAGAGTGAAGAAGGCAAGCATAGTGGTGAATGGTGGCAATAGAAGACATGTTTGAGGGAGGGAGTTCAGGGATAGTGACGTCGACTTGCTATGTGGAGAATTGAGTGCTGGTGATGTAAAAGAGGAACTGAGCGTGAGTGGTTACGTGGTATTCATCGCACACACACACACACTTTTCTTGTTTTGGGCTCATATATTAGAAGTGGTATATAAAATTGTTATCAACTTGTGTATGATGTTAAAGCATCTGTTTACATCCACCTCGCCTCAATTACTATCATAAATGTTTTCCCTCCGTTATCATTTCATGAATTTATTTTTCAAAATTGATTTTATGTAATATATATATATTCATTTAAGCATAAATTTTCTGTTTTTTTTTTCAGATGGGAACACCTATTTACACGACACGTCATCACAAGAGCTGATAATTATTAAAGTCTGCCCTGAAGGGAGAGAAAACGGGTCAGTCTGTGGCACCAAAGAAAATAAAGAATGATGCGACACCAGTTAATCTTGGCCTTTCTATATTTCGTCATCGTTCTCGTCATTTTACCATTTTTCCTCACTGAAAGAGTATATTCTATATATTACCAGGAAGATTATGAAAAGTCCAGCTTCACTGACACAATTAAAAATGAATATCGTTTAAACGGTGCACAACAGTACTTAGAAAATGTTGACCCCGAAACTTCTCTAACTTTTCACAACTCTAAGTTATCAGAACCTGTAGATAATCTCATTATTGTGTTGGCCAAAAAGGCTACGCATGAAAAAGATCTAATATTAACACAACTGGTGACAGAAGTGGACAAAAATATCAGAGCGGAAAAATTCTATCGTAACGCCATGATGATCTGTAACACCACTAGGTCCCATTTTAGAGAACTGGATCGTTTGGCTCGGTTCTACCCAGTCAGACAAGCACAAAATACCACGAGATGGAAGCTTTTTAATACAGAAGAAGTAAAAAAGCATGATTTTGTCGAATGTGTGAATCAGGGAATAAACAGTGTGAACTTTAAATACCTGACGTTGATAAGAGATGTAGTGGTGCCTTACTCTGGGTTCCTGGGGGTTCTGAATCACCTCGCCAGCAAGAGACTCACCAGATCCTTAGTGAGGGGAGATTTAAAGGAGCGTGACACATCCTGGCTCTTCCTGCACTTGCAAGAGCCTGTACCTTTCCGCCACTACGAGTTTACAGGAGTGTGTGTGCGTGAAATACTCCTGGTGGCATGCAGCGGAGCCGTGTTTTTCACTGTGGTATTTAGGTGGCTGGAGGGCCCCTCACTGCCGAGTTCTGCGAGAATCATCTATGCCCTCTACGGTGTCCTCTACTTTTTAACCTTCGCCCTTGTCATTGGTCGACCTTATGTTAACGAATTTCGTCGGTTTAGTGCTGACATGTACCTAGTGTATGATCCGCCAGAACCCATCCTTTTCTCAGCTATAGTTCTGCCTTCATCCAGCCTGGACGTCCTCCTCCCTCAACTAAACCTGCTCCAGTGCTCCAAATATTCACCTTTCCACGAGGTACTCGACCACATGATCAGCACAATAGAGTTGCCGGGGTACGTCGTGTCCCCCAGCCTCTTCAAATATGTTGCCAGAACCTGACAAAATGTTTGGTGTTTTCCTCTGTATTGTTTCTCATGTTTCTTATTCCTTAAGCAAGTTACTCTTTTTATATGTTGCAGTCTCAGGTACAGGCAATTTATTATTTTACTGATTTATTTAACACATAAGAAAACTGTACAGCCAGTCGAATATTACCTCACTTAACCTGTTCACCATATATTTTATCAAATGTTTATCATACTCAGTGATTGAAGATTCGTAAAGCTCCAATCACTAGCGATTTTTCCTTCTGTCTTCATATTGATCTCCGAGGAAAGCCTGTTACCACTACACTGTCTCTTAGTACACGACTTGCCCCCACCGACTTAAATCAAAAGAATGTCTTTATTAATTTTGTATCACAAACAATACTTTATAAGTCTATTATGGTGTAAAAGATGTGTGTGTGTTTGTTAGTATGACAGTCTCGTAAGTAGAGATTAGGGAAGGTGGACCATAGTTCAGCTTATCATTAGAAACTGCTCTTAAGTAGTCTTCCACCTTCGAGTTTGTTATTTCAAGTTAGATTCCCAAACCACACAGGATAGATAACTTGACGCTGTTGTTTGTTTAGTGTCAGATTCTTGCAGTTGTAGTTGAGTGAGGATAAACGCTTGTTCAGTTGACTTAACACTGCTCTAAGGCTTGAGTAATAGTAAAGGAACAACTACAGGTTCTCCTCAGTATGAAACAAAATATGATACATTGAATTCTCTTACGTAATTATGTGTTTGATATATTTATTAATAATTTAAATATTTATTAGTTTAACCCTTTGAAGACGAGTAGTTTGAAATATCGTCGTCAAGGAGTTAATATTATACACTGTACATTCTTTTTGTAATCAAGGGTGCCAATTTATTGTGATAATGACATAACAGATTAAATCAAAACATGGAATTATGAAGTTTATTTCTCCCTAAACTAATGACGAAAAAAATATTCTCATCTTTTAGTCATCTTTCTAGCCACACCAAGAGACGGTAAAACCAATGATGGTCGTAACTTGCCTCGTGATCTCGGAGACTTAGGATGAATATGTACGAGAACTTATTAGAGATTATGTTAATTAACACCGGATATAAAATACATAGATGCATTTGGACTTATTAAACAGAGATTTAAGCCACTTCCTCCTTCCTCTTACCCATCACACCTGCTAAATAGAACTGTCCTGAATTGGTTAATATAAGGACAAGAAATATTTACATTACGTTATACGCATTAAATAAACACTCGAAATGGGTGATTACCTTAAGCAGCACTGTTGGAGTTTATATTACATCAAACTAGGTACAAGTATAAAGTTAGGATATAAATTGATAATCGAGGTTTGATGATGTGGATGGAGGTCAGAAGTTAATGGTGGAGCCTAGTTGGTGAGCCCCTAGTCCCTGATCACCAGCTTTTATTGAAGGTTGTTAGTGTTGTGTTTCTCTGGTCAGGATCGTTAAGGCATAACTCCATAACTAAATTACTTTCATTATTTCTATCGTTCTGCTATTCAACACATTAAATTAGTAGTTACGATATTACCTTTATCTTCCTTAATTACCTTGGTATTTAATGTATAGGTAAATAAATAAACAGAGAAGAATGGTTTAAATATAATTACTTTATTAATATACAAAATAGAGGCACATTGTTCCTGTAGTACGCCAACTTTTATATCATTGGCAGGGTAATGTAACGAATAAGGCACTACGGATGTTGGTGTTGTAGGTTGACCAAGTCCCAGTGTTCGGCCTCACTGGGAATAAGACAGATGTATTACAGTAACACCTGACACCGTTCTCGTGGCTCAGAGACATGACTGACGATAACAGATAGATAACACTTGTAGATATTTAAAGACTTTCTTTTTAGGTTATTGTGGCAAGTACATTCTGCTGACACTGAGGATGGGACCTTGTATGAATATTAAACTCAGGGATAAACTCATTTTAGACGTTTTGAACACAAATACAAACTGTACAGGATGATGACTCTAAAGAGGACCATCTAGTGTTCCCGCTGTTGGAGAGAAGGAAGAAACTTGTCTCTCACGAAGTAATGTATAATATGGCACCATTTGTTGATCTTACCACTGGTGTGTGTCCTTCAACCTCTCTGATGAGGAACACCAGAAGGAAAACTCTCAAGGGCTCAAAACACCACCTCCTCCTCCTCTCAGTCAACTGTTCCACCCGGAACCTCAGCTGAGTGGAGCACGACAGGATAATCTTACCTTCGAACTATGAACAATAATAAATATGTTTATCTGAAGCTAATCACCAGATAAAGATATACAGTAGACAGACGTTTCCTAGCCTCTAGCCTCCAGCTTTTGAGAACACGATCATAGCTTTTAATAAAAAATCTCACACCGGTATAGACTGATACACGCAACTAATAACATGCCACGCTGATTCTGTTACACTAACATGTCCAACAAACTCCATTAGAGTTTTTTATTTCAATAATTACAAAATTGAAACCTTGATATTTCCTGTACCGATAATTTCATCAAATCATTTCATAAGTAAAGATGTATAGCAATTTCCCAGTCCGCCCAGTGTTGGTGGGTGGTGTGGTGGAGGCCCCTACACTCGGTACTGCTTGTTCTTCTCCATAAACTTCCTTATCATAGTTCCTGACGACTCGTTAGGGTCGAATCTTGGTTCTGGAGAAGGAAGACAATAGTGTAGAGTGACAGGTAAGTCTTAAACGTGTGTCTGTGTCTATGTTACAGTCAATGTTTCTACTAGTGCCTATCTACACTACAACAGATAAGCTGGGGTGTGAGAGAGACCAGAAGACGCCTCACCATGCCTGGGCAGGGGAGGTTGTCGGGGATCAGGTGCTGGGGTGCCGATCCTCATGTAATCGACGTCGCCCCCATTGCCAGCTGGGATGGTTGACTGTTGTTGTTGTTGTCTATCCTCCGTGGCCCTGCGTGTGTGTGACCCGGGTCCTGAAGGCACATACCTCGTGGGCCCTCCTCCTCCACCTCCACCTTCAGGCAAACGTAATAGAATTAGAGAAAGAGAAAGAAAGAAACAGGGAGACGGAGAGAGACAAGAGGACAAGAAAGAATGTATGAGAGAGAGAGAGAGAGAGAGTTAAATGCTGACAGTGGGAGAATATACTTATACACCAGGCAGAAAATACTGAAAGTTACTTGGAATCTAAATATCAATTATTAACATATTACCAGAAAATCATCTTAACGTGTGTGTGTGTGTGTGTGTGTGTGTGTGTGTGTGTGTGTGTGTGTGTGTGAGTATAAAATAAGGAACATAATAGCCACTCACCTTGGGCTTGTCCAGGTTGTCTCTCCCCATTGGCAGACTGCAAGAGGAGATAGACCAATCAGACGACTAGAATTATAAACACAACAATGTCTTCAGTGTGAGGTAGAAGTCATTGGCCAGGTGGATTAATGGTAGACCTTGAGACATTATGTGGAAGAGAGAGAGAGAGAGAGAGAGAGAGAGAGAGAGAGAGAGAGAGAAGAGGAGATAGGAAGAGGGAAAAAGACAAACTAATAGACAGAACAATATTAAGAGAGACAGACAAACAGACAGGCAGGGCAATACTGAGAGACAATCAAACACAAACAAAACACACACACACACACACACACAACACACACAATTAAATACAATACTCACCAACACGACGACAACCAAAAACAAACACACATAAGCGACCTCCTCAGAGTACCAACCAAACAAACACCTTCCTCACACACCACCACCACCACCCCTGGCAGGTACACCGTCAGGAGGGGCCACAGGAGAGAGAACATCGCACACAGTGATTGGAAACTTGATACAAGACCTCCAGAAGTCTAGGTTGAGATTGAGTTATAATGAAGGGATCAGTTTAAAAGTTTATTATTTGATTTTTTTTAAAATACTGTATAGGGTTTTATTTGGAATGGAAAATCAAATAATAATAATAATAATAATAATAATAATAATAATAATAATAATAATAATAATAATAATAATAATAATAATAATAATAATAATAATAATAATAATAATAATAATAATGATAATAATAATAATAATAATAATAATAATAATGATAATAATAATAGTAATAATAATAATAATAATAATAATAATAATGATAATAATAATAGTAATAAAAGTATAACAGTAGTAATGATAAAAGGAGCAATACAAAAAAAACTAAACAATAATTATAACTTTATTCTATACATATACATAGACTACATGAAGTAAGAGTCAATAGAAGTCAACAAGATTCACTGAAGTCAATGGTCAGCATCATTCAGTAACACGTGACACCTTTGAGACGGGGATCCTTAATTGCTTTCAAACTCAGGTCGTAGAGGAAACAGACACAATAACACACCGTCTTGGGTATTATGTGTACATATTGTTACGTTCTTATGTAGGTTTATGTACGTATGGAGTATGGTAGTGGCGTGATATGTGATCTTAGGGCGTAAATAAGTGAGGAATAGAGGGCCGGAGAGCCTACCTTCCGTGCACAGGTTAAGAGATAGGTCCAGTTGCCAGTCGATTTTCTGCAACAAGTTAGACCTAAGTAGCGTTCAGGGTCAAGGGATAGAGGTTATAATGTTTAGGGTTGAATAAGAGTGAGGTGCCAAGAAGTGATTAGGGATTAAAAAAAAGGGTTAGAATCAAGGGCGAGTCAGGTCCAGGCAGGCGTGAGGAAGAGAGAGAGTCAGGCTCAACTAATAGTCAGATTCAAGCAGATATTTAAGGCCGGGGAATAGTTAGAGGGAAGCAGCAGTCAAAGCCAAGCAAGCATTTATAAGAGCCAGGCAGCACTCAGGGCCAGGCAGCACTCAAGGGCGGGTAGCATTCAGGGCCAGGCAGCACACAGGGCCAGGCAGCACACAGGGCCAGGCAGCACTCAAGGGCGGGTAGCATTCAGGGCCAGGCAGCACACAGGGCCAGGCAGTACACAGGGCCAGGCAGGGAAGAGGTAGAGGATGAGTCTAGTAAGGACTTGCCCTGAGGTTGGTCTTCATGGCTGTGAGTTGACTCATCAGGTCCTGGTTCTTGGCTTGGAACTGTCTGGGGGAGGAAGACAACGTGATTATTTACACACACGTATTAGCCCCTGTCAAACAGACAGTAATACTTATATAAATGTGGGTTACAAACAGTACATTTGGTTTATATAATTACATCACCCACGGTAACTATGAGCCGTGAGTCGTCATCAAGTGGACATGTGATTGTGACAGTGTATTCCCATTGCTCCCTCACACCTTGGCCGCAGAGTCATCAATTCAGTAGCCGCCTGTTGCTAGTTCATCTCCCGTCTCTGAGCCACTGAGACGCGTGATCTAAGAAGCTAGTTATACCCAAGGCTTCGTCCATTATTAACGCTCACAGCTCATAGCATTAATTACGGTGATATCCCAGTTATTGTGCAATAGTTTATTTTCCTAATAAATGGAGAAAAGACCATTTGGGTTTTATAACTTAACCCATAAACATTTATGAATGTTGCTTCCAGTTCACCTCTAATTAGTGATTCCAACAGGTAACCGCAACACACACACCACTCACTTGATCTCCTCATCCGACATGTTTTGGAATTTTTTCCTATCTTCCTCACTGGGTTCCTGGATGCGGATCTTCCAGTCAAAAGGCGTCCCCTTGACCATGGGTGGGTGAGGCTCCTGACGGGGAGGCCTCTGTTCCTCCCACTCCTTCCTGCAACACCAACACACTTTACTCACCAACACTTGAATGACACCAGATATTAAAAACTTTGAAAGAAAATAATTCGTGTAAAACATAAAATATTAAAACACAAAAATCCTGCACGTACTATAAAAAATCGTATGGATGTATTTCATTAATGTGTGAAGAAAGTGGAGTTAAATAAAATAAACAACTAAAATATCTGTTAGTGTAAATGAGTGAGTCAAGATAAAGCAATGGAATAATAAGCATTTAACTGAGGTTGTTTGTGTGTTTCTCGGGGGGGGGGAGGGGGGTTAAGACAGTCAGAGTATTGTTCCTACCAGTTAATGGGACTGTATAAATATCTACGTTTTATTTTTAATGTTTATATTTCATCTATTTTATTATTAAGAGGGAGGAATAGACAAAACCTTCAGAATAAACGTCAATAAACTGCTAAACAAACATCACTTAAGCTCTACACACAAGCCATAAAAGCCACATCAAGTACTGTACGGTCGAGTTAAGCCATGCATGTAACACCGAGAGACGACTGAGTCAACGAGAGGCATAACCTGTACACTGTAAACACAAATCGACGACAATAAACACTATGTAACACTCGTAAGCCAAGACAACCCGGATATAGTAAAGCAGTGTGTGTGGAGCCTCAGCGTGTGTACATGACTCTCCACCACCACCTACATCCGTGAACACAAGGCACTAATAACAACAGTTTTTTTTACTTTTTATAATGACACTTCGATATATTTTACATTTATTGGGCAAAAAAAATCTTGTATTATTATGTTATATTGGTGTGTTATTATTAAGGGATATGAATTTGATGTTTGTTCTCTCTCCTCCCTACTCGTTCCTTGCCTCCAGAGTTACTGGTGTGTGGTGGAGCTGGCCGGGCGAGGTGGTGCTCACATCAACCATAGCACCGCCCAGTGTAGTGTTGTGTGTACCACTTCATATACTTACCACACATAATGTTGATGGTCTGTAAAACAATGTGGTTATGGATGTAATTCAGGTGTTACAACGTACAGTACACACAACAACGTGCTATAGATCATATGTTCAGTTCACACGTGTTGTATCTCCTGGTAAGCCTTATGTGTACAACAAGCAGCGTCGTCAGCCTTGTAGCATAACACCACAACAACAGATCTTCAGTAGAAATGCTCCCGACAGCCCTCACTTACAACGCTGTCGTGGTCTGTATCTCAAAGTCAGCCGTGTCAGGTTTGTAGGTCTGCATTTCCATGTGTGCTGTCGGGGGCGGGTAGTCGGTCTGGAGGTCCTTTGATTCAGTCAGCTTGATGGCGGGGACTTGTTGTGCGTGTTGCTTCGTGATGGTTGGCAGCGCCTGTGGCCGTGGTGGTGGTGGTGGCGCCTCTTCTTCAAAACCGATGGCAAGTGTGGTCCTGGGTCTGTTAGGCTGAGGCTTTCTGAGGATCGGTACATCCAGGGCCCTGCTGTGGGGTGCGTCACCAAGGAGTGTGTTAGATGACTATATGGTATTACAGTCAGATAAAATAAGTATTTGAAAAAGATGAGATGGAATACTTTACTGCTGTTAATACATACATACATACATACATACATACATACATACATACATACATACATACATACATACATACATACATACATACATACATACTCTGGTATTGAATCAGGTGTTAGATGGACGGGATCATCTGAATACAAAGACTGCTATAAACAATGAACAATAATTTACAACAAATTCAGATAGATGACCTGGCAATAATTTTACGATTATTCAAATTATAGAACTTTAAAAAATCAGAACGATTCTTTTGATATTTAACTCTGTATTTTGTTGATAGTAAACTGCTCAAGACTCTCAAAGATTCACTCAGTGTCAAGGTGGTGAGATGACGGGGTGGGTTATGAGTTGCAGGTGGCAGAATATCTGTTAGGAGATTGTATGGAGGTTAGTATCAGTTGTGAATGGTTGTTTGTTTGGTCATAGATCCTTTATGGCTGGCGAGGGATGAATCTAATGCCTGGCGAGGGATGAATCTAATGCCTGGCGAGGGATGAATCTAATGCCTGGCGAGGGATGAATCTAATGCCTGGCGAGGGATGAATCTAATGCCTGGCGAGGGATGAATCTAATGCCTGGCTGGGTGTAATGAATTTTCAGCGTAGTTACTTCATATGCGTAAAGAACAAAGTCTGAATTTTTTCTACAGTAAATAACACTTATTTAGAACACCCCTGTGATCGTGTCATCATTTGAAATATATGTGTTACTTCCTTAGAGAGTAAATGGATGGCTCATGATTTTATTTCAGTCGAGCAATACCGTCAGTTAAGTAATTTAGTTCAGCCATTACAATTAGTCAGTCAGTCAGTCAGTCAATCAGTCAGTCAATCAGCCAAACCAGTGAGCGAGTGAGTCATGAAGGCGAGTGATTCCCCAAATCAATGAAACTGGAGGATGAGAGTGAGTGAGTGAGTGAGTGAGTGAGTGAGTGAGTGAGTGAGTAAGGCAGTTCTGTACCACCTACTTGTTGGGTCTGGGCGGAGGCTTGGCGGGCGGCGACAAAGGCTTGGGACGCTTGCGGTCTTCGCCGTTTTTGGCCATTTTCATAGGAGTCTTTGGGCTAGATGGGGAGAGTTAGGTTAGTGAGTACACAAAACCTCCATCTTTGGGATGTTTCAGGAACCTTCAATAACTTACACATTGAGACTATTCCTCCTCAATAGCCTTTCACCCTAGTGGCTTTCCGTAAACGTAAATAACTTGTACACAAAACCTAAACACATTTCGAAAAACCTTTTATCCATCCCAGGAACATGAAACAACCTGCCCACTAATACTAAACACACACCTTAACATCACGTCCCTAGAATTGTTAATTATTCTGTAAGTCAATATACAAGGCCACAAAAAACAGTGTTACAGTGTTATTCACATTTACGATATAAACATCAATACAACATAACAGCTAAGAGAACTACAGTGCAATACTCTTCTGCCGGTGAACAACTGCACATCGACCTACAGCACCTCAACCTATACTACACAGTTATCTAAAATTAATTGTCTTACTTATCGAAGAATTTGTTGGGTTTCTGGGCTGCCAGGAAGGTCGAGTCGGACTTGAGCATGTTGAAGCCGAACTGGTCTTCGCTCTTGGGATTCCTGCGGGGGATATGAAGACTGTGAATGATGAGAGAATGTCAGCAACAGGATGAAGGTTAGAGGGAGGACAGCTGGGAGAAGGATATGACTGACTTATCGCCTGATGTGTGTCTGATGTCTGTCAGCTTCAGAAATCACCGACAGCTTCTGACTTTCTGGTAAATTTGGTAATATGTCAGTCAGTGTTAGAAGCTGTTGCTTGCCCATGAGTTAATCCTCGATAACAAAGGGTACAAGGGGGCGGCCTCAGGGGTTACAAGAGGCGGCCTCAGGGGTTGGGGGCCCTAGTAGGCGGCCTCAAGGGTTAAAGTGGCTGCCTCAGGGGTTACAAGAGGCGGCCTCCAGGGGTGCTGAGGGGCGGCCTCTAGGGGTTACAAGGTGCGGCCTCCAAGAGTTACAAGAAGCGGCCTCGAAGAGTTACAACGGGCGGCCTCCAGGGGTTACAAGGGGGGACTTTTAACTCACCGTTTCTTGGGTTCTCGCTCCTTGTATTCCTGGTTCTTCAGTTCTCGGTCTTTGGCGGGCTTGATGACCCGGGCGTCCAGACCTGTGTCGATGTTGGGTGTGGGTGTGGGTTGTTTCATGTCCGCCAGCTTCTTCGCCTGGTCCAACCTCGACTTTCTCTCCTCCTCCGCCTGCTTCTGCATTGCCTCCATTTGCTTCAGCTGTGCCTCCCGTCGACGAGTTTGCTGAAATTGAAAAGGTAATGTCAGTAACTCGATGTTCCTTCATGTTAAAGTACAACAGCCAAGTACGCCGTCCTTCTTATCACTTAAAGGCAAAATATAACTTATAATGGTCTTCGTCTTCTCAACATTTGTCCCTCATAGTTCATCCAGTCGTAACACCTTGCTCGCAGGTCTACTGTGGCGGTCCTTCAAGAGGTAAAAAAATTAAGGTATGTGTTATTCAAATGCCAGCCTTACCTCCTCCTCCCCAACTTGGCCTCTTACCCCTCCCTGTTTCATTCTTTCTTCCCCTTCTTCGTTCTTACCTTTCCCACCTTCCTCTGTTTCCCCTCTCAGTCACCCTTGTACATATTCTTACCACCTGTTCATCATGCTTATTCTTACCACCCCTTCCTCAACCCCTCTTCACCTCCTCCTTCTCCTTACCTCTTCTTCCTTCCTCCTTTTCTTCTCCAGTTCAGCCTCGTATTCTTGTTTCATCCTCTCCTGCTGTTTCAAGACACTCGCTTCGAACAGTCTGTCCTCGAGGTCTTTCTTCTTCTTCTTCTCCTCGTCCAGTTGTCTCTTCATCTCCAACTGCCAGTGAAGTTCCCCACGCGTCTGCTCTGCCCTCGCTGCGTTCATCGCCTCCCTCTCGTCAGACGTCTACACCAGACAGAAGGACAACATACACGGGTTACATACTTCATCCGAGTCATCTATATAAAGCATTCGAATCTCTTATAAAGGATTAAAAGAACATCTGTTTAAAAAGGGGGATTACGTACTTTATCTCATAACTTATACAGATGATGGTGTCACTCTTATATTCCTAGACTTATCACCAATTATGGGAGGAACAAAATGGATCTCTGAGCAGCTGGAGGGAAAAGACTCACCATGGAGACGTGTGGCTTGATGGCTCAAGGAAGGGGTTACTGTGGGGGAGAAAGAGAGGTGGGGGAGTGTTAAGTCGAGTGAATCATTCATTAAATCACTTCTTTATATCTCAAAATTAATTAAATCTCATCTTTAAAAAGACATTATTTATTTGTAATTAATGTAATATATTTATTTATAACCAATGTAATTATTTATCTGTAGAGAAAATTATAGTAATGAAATAAATTTGTATGACATAACAAAAAACATAAAATTATGAACGCAACATTAATTCGTCAATGTTATGCCTCGAGCCGCCATGATATCAACAAACCCTCCTTACCTGGGTTGGCGTATCCTCCTCCTTGATCATAATCTCCGCCATAACCGCCAGCATCATAACCGCCAGCATCTACACAGCATCATAACCACCAGCATCATAGCCACCGCCATAACCACCGCCGCCACCATAACCACCGCCGCCGCCGTATGGGTCGTCATCATACCCCACGCCACCATAGGGGTCGTAGCCGCCACCATACCTGCCGCCAGTTTCACTCACGGAGGCGGCTGTGTCACGAACCGCTACCACGCCGCCTTCACCTGAGACCAACGGGAGACCAACTGTTTATGCATTTCTACTTACGAGACGGTCACTACAGGAGCACTTTTACTTACAATCACTTTACTTTGATAATTAACTGATAAACATTATGGTATATACACCTCTTAGTATAAACAGTGTACCTCTCTCTTTCTCACTCACCAGAATTGCGTCTGTTGGCGGCTGGGTTTTGGAAGGAAGGGTCGTAGGAATTCGGAACAGCCATAGCAGCGTAGATCCTCTCCTCCTCCGCCTTCCTCAGCTTCCTTGCCTCCTGCTGTGCCGCCGCCTTGTGCCTTAGGTCCTCAACCGCTAACTTGCTGCGTTGTTGACGAATGGTCTCCCGGTGACCTGGAAAGTAGGAGCTGTAGAGCGGCTGAGAGAGAGTGCAGTAATGTGAAGTGTCCGGTCTTTGTGGTAAGAGTTGTCATCTGGAGCTCTTGTTGTACTGGTGAGTGCTCCTTCCAACACCTGAGCTTTAGAGCACCTGTCATTACCTCTATTTAGAGATCCTGCCAACACCTGAGCTTTAGAGCACCTGTCATTACCTGCATTTAGAGATCCTGCCAACACCTGAGCTTTAGAGCATCTGTCATTACCTGTATTCAGATATCCTGCCAACACCTGGGACATATCAGTGCCTCAGTCAACATTACCCCGGTGTCATCCACCACACCACCACCGTCACTCACCCACCACACCACCACTACCACAACGCCACTCACCCACCCCATACTGTCACACATCTACCACATCGCCACCCACCACACCATACCCTCACCACACCACCACACTACCACAGAGCCACCTACCTCCGTCGCCGAAGATTGAAGAGTTCATATGCAGATATCGGTTCTGCGCGGCGTTGAGTTTGGTGCTCCTGTTATCGGCCAGCCAGGGCACTCCCCCCATATTCCTCATGCTGTCGACTCCGCCGCCGTTCTGGTCAGGGGCACGAGGCAGATAGATAGATAGATATAGATATATATATATAGATATAAATAATTCATACAGTAAAATGGTCATACAAATCCAAACTGATCCAATAATGTATATAGACAGTGCTGGTATATAAATAATATAAATAAAAATAGAGAGAGAGATGGAGAGAAAAACGGGAAGACAGATAGACAAAAACAGAGACAGACAACAGAGACAAAACAGAGAGAGAGAGAGAGAGAGAGAGAGAGAGAGAGAGAGAGAGAGAGAGACATGGAAAGATTCACTTACCATATCCTCACCACTTAAGTTCCCTCACTGTAGGCCTCGGAGCCCTGCAGTACTCGGCCTGTCGACACTGAAACACCCAAAGTTAAAATTACAACTTACTTTATTACTTTCCTTCTGTTTTCAGTTTTATATCTACCACTGTATTAAACTATCTATTTTTTTTATTAATTTATTGTTCTAGAGTAGTTCGTGTATGTACGCGCGAACGCTTGGACTTTTCATTGTTTCTCATGTATAGAGGAGGGAATCAAGGTTGTCTTCAAAACAGAACGGTGAAGATGACTTACAATAGCTATTAGTCACAAATACTTAAGGATATTAGTCACTAACAAGTGATCGGGGCCCTTCGTGCCAGGTAAAAGTTTGAATGCTCGTGCTTGGCTAGCTGGCAACCGCCGTCAGGCTGACAGCGTACAGCGAATGAGGGTGTGCCAAGTCCGTAGACTTGCATCGTTTTTCAGCTTAAATAAAATGGTTAATTAATGCCTTCCTAAAGAAACCATCGACATGGGACCAGGTTTGTTCAACTCTACGAATTTTTTGCGATTCTTCCACGAAGTTTGATGAAAAACCTTTGTGCCGTTTCGGCTGCCCAGAACAGACAGACAGACACACGGCTATTCCTATAGTATATTAGATATCGTTCAGACATCAATATCACACGACAGTAACCATTAAAAATGTTTCACAGTAAATCTTGTGTGAATTACTGCAGGCACGAAAGGGATTCCTGAGGCAGCCATGTTGATGACATCATGGATGGGTAAACAAACTCCCCTGTGTCATAAATAACTCAAGATATCGTGTGTTCAAAATTGACTAATAATAGTAACCTTAGTAATAAACACTAACTCAAGAATACAGTACGATCAATATTGCCTTAACACTAATAGTCTGTTAAAATCTGGACTAATACAACATGGATTAATGAGAACGTGTGCAGAACATTAATGAAAAGATACAGTTAACGAAAAGTTTAGAATAGTGAACGAGAAAGTAAGAAAAATAAACGAAAAATGTCGGTGGGGTTTTCTAATGAGTTATCACAGACAGCGGCCCTGCCAGCCATGCATCTCCACCCCATCGTTCATCAGGAAACTCATTTGTATTCATAAAAACCCCATATTATTCTTAACTATCAGAGTGTTTTAAAGTATATTAGAAGAACAAAATTAAAAGATTCCCTCCCTCCCCCACATACACGACCAGGATTCATTACGCTCGATATCACGCAATTCACCTTCACCTGTGGCTGTCAGGTGTTGAACAATCAGTTAGATAAACAGTGTCAAGCGTGGGGAGAGGGGGTACGATAATTAAGGTCTTGAGGTGTACAGCTAGTGGACGGGTTGTTATCGGGCAAAAGACCTGATAGAGCGAGCTGAGAGAGAGAGAGAGAGAGAGGATCCCACATAATCCATCACCCCCATCCACAAAAACTACGTCAATTCCTATTTAGACAATGCATAAATGAACCCCAATTAATTATTTATCAACCTGTACACCTGTAAACAATCGTTATATTTGTAGCAACTCCCAATGTAGGTGTCGAAGTAGAGACGTCATTTAGTGTATTTCAAAACAACAGTTCACATTTTCTCTGGTTGACTACTAGCGCTGCCGGCGATGAAAACTGAACTAGTATAGTTCTGCCAGACGTATGTGTCTATTAGAGTATGTTTTAGGGTTACTGTTCTATCAGCTTATAAAGTGATGATCCTCCCCTTAGTGGTTTTAAGGGAGAGGAGTGACTATATAAGGGGTTACATTTAAAGGGGAAAGGGTGAGGTATACTTCATACGTCCGCCACTAAAAAACATAGTAGGAGAGGATTGCTGCCGAGAGATGATTGAGTCCGTGAAAGGCATCCCAACCTGTCGTACCTCAATAATGGGTTGGGAGTGAGAGTAAGAGCGAAATGTAGTGAAATAGATAGAAAGAGGGAGAGAGAGGAGAGGAATTCGTGATGAGGTGGAGAAAGTCGTCCTTGGGTCAAGTAGCGCTTTAGAGAACTGTTGAAGGGATGGATAAATATAATGTCAACAACGTACTGTAGGTGACCTTCATGTAGACACGACGAAGAGACGGTGAGGTGTGTGTGTGTTGTGTGTGTGTGCCTTGCATGACACAGCCGACACTATCACAGACACTGATGATAAAACATTCAGTGAGTCTACACCCATACTAACACATATTACACCCTCTCCCATGACGCTGACCCCCCCCCTCTCTCTCTCACAGGTCAATAGTTCTATCACACCACCTTAAGTGTTCAGGCTCGCCGCCCTCCTTCACGCCATGTCTGTCAGTCTGTGTATCTCAAGTATCGGCAGTGCTGGATTAACCTTGAGGCACTTGAGGCACTGCCCCCGACTCTAAGGGGCCCCCAAATCAAACATTCTCGAAGTTGAAGCATATAAAACATGAACTTCGTTCAACTATGTCCTAGCAACGTCTCAATTTTTCTGTCTTATGAACATTAAATGTGTTATTTTGCAGAAGCTTAATATTGATGAAATCATTGATAAATTTGGGTATATTTTGTTCTTGTTATTTATATATACCTTGAGGGAGGCCCCAAGTTGATCTGTGCCTCAGGCCCCTATTAAGCTTAATCGCTGAGTATCGTGTACACTGATCGATACTGTCTGCACTAACAAGGCTACACTGACCAGAGAGAGAGAGAGAGAGAGAGAGAGAATGTGCATCAATGAATGCTGGAATCTTTGATACACCAATCGATATGGTACAGTGGTACACGCTAACACGAGTATACGAATTTATATGTCCCGTCCGTCTGTCTGTCTCTCTGGTAACTCACCCGTCACTCCACCAGGCAAGGCGGCACTCACAAAAAATCAAGCGTGTAAATTTTTTCTAACGTTCCTTTAACGTGTACAAGATTTCTTCACATGATTTATAGGAACATTATTCTGAGTGTGACATGGACAAGGTTAGTTACCCCTCCTAAATGTCGTGAAAGAAAAAGGTGTAATTTGCATTGTCCTTCACAGACAGACAGACAGAGACAGACAGACATATAGATAGATAGATAGATAGATAGATAGATAGATAGATAGATAGATAGATAGATAGAAAATCGTCATCCAAGTTTACACTGACTCATATATATACTTAAAGAGCCAATGTAGGTAAACAACTACTAGTAAACAGTATAACCAAGTGACAGGTAACTAGGTGAGATAAACAAGCCGTCAGATGATGAATAATGTGTTTATTTATGTTGTTGGGTTAGTATAATAAGGTATGGTAGGTCTAATGAAACAGTCCTTCCTCCCTTCTCTCCCTCCTCTTCTCTCCTCCTTTCTCTCCCTTCTCCTCCCTTTCTCTCCTCCTTCCTTCTCTCTCCCCCTTCTCTCCTCCTTTCTCCTCCTCCTCCCCTTTCTCTCCCTCCCCTTTCTCTCCCTCCTTCCTTCTCTCCTCCCCTTCTCCCTTTCTCTCCTCCTTCCCTTCTCTCCTCCCTTTCTCTCCCTCCTTCCTTCTCTCCCTTTCTCTCCCTCCTTCCTTCTCTCCCTCTCCCTTTTTCTCTCCTCCCCTTCTCCTCCCCTTTCTCTCCTCCTCTTCTCTCCCTCCTTTCCCTCCTTCCCTTCTCTCCTCCTTTCTCTCCCTCCCCTTTCTCTCCCTCCTCCTTCTCTCCCTCCCCTTTCTCTCCCTCCCCCTTTCTCTCCCTCCTTTCTCTCCCTCCTTCCCTTCCTCCCCTTTCTCTCCCTCTCCTCCTCCTTCTCTCCCTCCCCCCTTTCTCTCCCTCCTTCCCTTCTCTCCCTCCCCCCTTTCTCTCCCTCCTTCCCTTCTCTCCCTCCCCCCTTTCTCTCCCTCCTTCCCTTCTCTCCCTCCCCTTTCTCTCCCTCCCCTTCTCTCCCTCCCCTTCTCTCCCTCCCTTTCTCTCCCTCCCCTTCTCTCCCTCCCCTTCTCTCCCTCCCTTTCTCTCCCTCCCCTTCTCTCCCTCCCCTTCTCTCTCCCTCCTTCCCTTCTCTACCTGTATCAGTGTGAGGGTATATGTACAAGTTGTTTATGTCGTAGTTAACGCATGATTCAGTGTTATGTATCTGTCACAGTAACACATTAGGAGAACTTAATAGCATAGCAAACTAATGTATATGTCGATAATGTTTTCGTCAGAGTAGTATCGGAGTTTTCGTCAGTGATTATTATGTTTTCGTCACATAAATAATATTTTTCTTAGTAATTAGGATGTTTTTGTTTCTGTTAGGATAATGTTTATGTCTTTATCACAGGAACAATATAAAGTATTTGTCACTTGTATTCCGCATTGGATGACTTAGTGTACGTGTTTAGGTAGCCAGGAGACTCCACACTCTGGATACGATGACAAATACTCGTTGTTTACGTTATATTAGACCCTAATCTTAATCAGCCCCCCCAAATAATAACCCCCAGACCTAATGATAAAGTGGGGGCTGGGTGGGAGCTGGGTGGGGGCTGGGTGGGGGCTGGGTGGGGGCTGGGTAAGTAAAGGGCGTATAACTGCGTACCTCTGCTGAAGGGAGTTCCCGCGTTCAGTGTTTATCATGCCTGCATAATGTACAAGCCGCTTTTCGATTGCTTGTATTGGGTCGTATAAAAGGGGGTCTTGCAGCTCTCTCTCTCTCTCTCTCTCTCTCTCTCTCTCTCTCTCCACCCTTAGTCTGGCCTCGACGTATAAGATTGGAATAATACTTACTCGAGTTAACCTGCCATTGAATATGACC